ATAAACATTGCTAATATAATCTACTGCTGTACCTTACTAATAGTAACAAAATTATAAACATTGCTAATATAATCTACTGCTGTACCTTACTAATAGTAAGACAAAATTATAAACATTGCTAATATAATCTACTGCTGTACCTTACTAATAGTAAGACAAAATTATAAACATTGCTAATATAATCTACTGCTGTACCTTACTAATAGTAAGACAAAATTATAAACATTGCTAATATAATCTACTGCTGTACCTTACTAATTGTAAGACAAAATTATAAACACAATTATGAATTAACAGTACTGACCTTATCAACTTTTGACTTCTTAGCTTTCTTCATACTTTCTACAATATAGTCACTGTCATTTTCTGACTGGCCCCCAAGGTGATTGCTGTCACTATCCTGAAGATAACATTGTATATCATACAGAAACATATATATAAACATTCAATTATGCAGGTGACAGAAATTATCCTGGTTGAGCAACTTTTAATAAAACATCCTCTTCAAAAATCATAATTGGCACCTAAAAGGAATATTCTTTTTCAACTATTCAAGGCAAATGAATATTATCTTTGCCAGAATAATGATACTCTTTGGCACTACAAGTTATAACTTATAAAGATGATCTGGTTAGTAAGTATGGTTTTGGGGGTGCAAATCTTTACAAGTTCATTTTACAAACTTGAGAACTCGGCATAACCACATTAGAAATGCTGAATTTATCTTTTTTTAGCTCCAGACTGTTCATTGCAGTTTAAATTTATTAGTTTTGGATTGTTAAATGTAATTTTATTTCATTAGAACAACACTCTTCATGCAATTTGATCAGATCAGATCAGTCCTAGACTGTTGAGCGTATTTTATCTCAATAGTCTAAAACTGTTGAATGTAGTTTCACTTTATTTGTCCTAAGCTGTTGAGTGTAGTTTCACTTCATTTGTCCTAAGCTGTTGAGTGTAGTTTCACTTCATTTGTCCTAAGCTGTTGAGTGTAGTTTCACTTCATTTGTCCTAAGTTGTTGAGTGTAGTTTCACTTCATTTGTCCTAAACTGTTGACTGTAGTTTTATCTCAATAGTCTAAAACTGTTAGTGAAGTTTCATTTTATTTGTCCTAAACTGTTGACTGTAGTTTCACTTCATCTGTCCTAAACTGTTGACTGTAGTTTCACTTCATCTGTCCTAAACTGTTGAGTGTATTTTTATCTCAATAGTCTAAAACTGTTGAGTGTGGTTTCACTTCATTTGTCTACAACTGTTGAGTGTAGTTTCATTTTATTTGTCCTAAACTGTTAAGTGTAGTTTTACTTCATTTATTCTAGACTGTTGAGTGTAGTTTTATCTCAATATTCCTAACCTCTTCAATGAATTTTTAATGAGTTTTATACCATTAAGTTCTAGTAAATCCTTTATTCAATCTAACAATAATCCAAACAAAACATGTTTAACATTTGACACACAACTGGATTGGTCAGAATGACTAACCATTAAGTTGTACCAAAACTACAAATATTATGGAGATCTCAACTCCCATGAAGATCTGAGGAAGAATATGACCAGAAATATTGTTAGATATTGGGGAAAAAAAAGTGAGAGAAAACAGAAAAGTAAGGCAAAAGAAAATCAACAACATAAACAAGTAAGTATCCATAAGTTTAATAAACAGCGACTGAGTGTCACCAATCGTGGCATAAAAATTAAAGGGCAAAAAACAAAAAGAAAAGATAAAACCAATGGAAAGATGCAACTCAAAAGTTTAGGGACTTAAAGAGAGCCTATAAATTTAAAGAAAGATTATTATAAACAGGGAAAAATAGAAGATATAATGGATAAAAAATTCACTATTACTTCAACAAAAAAAGTGCTTTTGCCAAAGTAATTCACATGCTATAGACAGATGTTAGAACTAAAGTTATTGCTAAACATAAGGCATATACAGATCACCATTTCACCACTGGCAAAAATCAGCTAACAATCAAACAACTTAGATTTTTGTTATTTTAGACCCAAGCCACTTTAGCAAAACTTCATGGACTGTTTCTAATACTTGTGGCTAACAAACCTAAACACTGTGAACTACACTTCTAGCCACTTTAGCCTAAAGCATTCACAATTGACTATGAATGCAAACAGTGTAGCAAGCATATCAGAACCAAACTTAGATTATTTCTCTGTGAATGGGTGAAGTGGAAAAAGAAGAGTAAGAGCCAGATTCAAGAATAGAGTGATGAAGAAAGAAAGAAACCCAGATTTGTTGGCTTAAGCAGTTGCCTGAAGAAATGTTAAAAGCACACTTTTGAGAAAAAGTTGATATGGCAATGGAACCCACCAAAGACAAAAAAAAAAAAACATATCCATTTCAAATGAGAGAATTCATTAAAGTAGCTGACTTCAACTCACCTTCTCACTCAAGTGAATTCTTAATTAATACAGATGAACTACTCCAACAAATACTATGCACAAACACACTCTAGTAATAAAAGTTACTTAAATTTGTGAAGTGTTCAAATGAAAGAAATTAAGTTGGAAACTGCAAACCACAGCCTTACAGTGAAATATGATGTACTGTAAATATAAAAAGTATGATGATGATAAACACAATGAATCTAAATTGAAGCAAGCTGATGTTTCAAAATATACCGAGGAGTTAAATTAGTTCATAAAACATCAATTCAAAAAAATATTAGCATTTTATTAAGCCATTAAAAGAACTATAAGTGAAGACAGAAGAACAATACTGGTCAACAGTAGCTCTGGACCATTACTTATGGTCTAATAAACAGATATTAGTAGGATAAACTGTGAGGCTATATCCAGTACCAAGGATGGGAGGATACAAAGGATTACCGAAATCAGCCGTAATTTATAGTACCATGACTGCTCCTTCATCATCTCAATATTCTGAAAACATAATGAAGTGAACTGAGTGAAAAAAGTAAGCTACAACTACAACAGCACTATACTGCAGCAATATAGCAGCTACTAATTCCATTTTTCCATCAATCCAGCAGGATCAAGGGAGCAGTTACATCCTGTACTAAGGGAATGTTCTACTAAAAAGCTGAAACACTGGTAAAGAAACCAAACAATAGGTGTGTTTCAGTATATGAAAAGCTCATGGAACTTCAACTTGAACAATAGCAGAATTTTATATAAATATTGTTTGCTTAAAAACAAAAAACTGATCCTCCATCATGCAATGTTAGAGAAACGATGCGTCATGTAAGTAAAGAAGAGACAGTAGGCAAAAGGTTCAATATATTGTAGAGTTGCAACACATGCACAGAAATTGTTTTGGCTAAGAAGTGACTGGAACTCCTTTTGATCAACCTTGATGTAAAGTCTAAAAAAATTACGTTTTCTATGAAAAGTTGGAGTAAATCAATAGGAAGTGAATATCGATTAATGTTCAATTTAATCAATTAGTTTCACAATCCATGAAAATAATAAACTAATTAGTGTTTTGTAGATTCAATATAATAAATTTTTGTCTCACTTTACCCATGATAATCTTGTTCTCCTTTACCTCTAACAACTTGCATGACCTGTTAAGTTTATTATCCCTTGATACAATGAAGATGCAACTAAAGTATTCATGTACTTGAAGACCAAGATGTAATTGTGTACACTGTTCACCACCATGTTTGATCCCCTCATTATCACTTCCCATAACTTACATTACCCTGTACCTAACAGTAACCTAGCTATTCAGCTAGGTTACTGTTAGGTAAACGTAACAATGAATAGCTAGGTTACTGTTAGGTAAACGTAACAATGAATAGCTAGGTTACTGTTAGGTAAACGTAACAACGAATAGCTGGGTTACTGTTTGGTAAACGTAACAACGAATAGCTGGGTTACTGTTTGGTAAACGTAACAACGAATAGCTGGGTTACTGTTAGGTAAACGTAACAATGAATAGCTAGGTTACTATTAGGTAAACGTAACAATATTCATTGTTACGTTTACCTAATAGTAACCTAGCTATTCATTGTTACGTTTACCTAATAGTAACCTAGCTATTCATTCTTACAATTATTATTGTTCTTATTTATAATCAACATCACAATGCAATGTTTTCTTTCATCTCCAAAAATTTAGTAGTTTCAGTAGTCTTGTGAAATCAACAGAATGGCAACAATCATATTTTCAACTTGTCACAATGTTACATACACGATACACTGCTAAACAGTTCTTCCTGAAAATATCTATCAGTTTACACAAACGGTCGTTTCTAAATATCTTTAAAAAAAAAAGCTCAAATAAGAAGATTGATCTCATGATGGAATAATCAATTAATTGAATTAATGATGAGCCTGATGATTAATTAATCAGCAAATTCCACTAAGAGCTCAGCTCGTAAAAAAAAGTAGGAATCAATAAACATGAAAAGAAATAAAAAATATTTACAATTGCAAGCTACAAGGCAGAAAGATGATAATCTAGAATTAAAGAAATATGTAGCTAAGCAGAGTTGATGAAGAATCAAGAACCAGAAAATAATTCACAGAACTGGATTCAAGACAAAATGAGTGAAATGGACTTATGAAAACACTGAACTTAAAGAAATGACATACAGAAAGAAAGCAAATTACACAAGTATGGCCTCCAATTAATTTGTACAAATTATGATAGTGGCACAAATAGTTACATCAGAAAGAACATTGTACTAAAGTTAGCATAACTGTCAACAAGAAATTCTATGTATGTCAGGAATGTAAAACTTGCGTAAGATATCCTTACCCTTGCACAATAAGTTATGTGAAAGGTGGAAGAGCAAAGAATTATGAGCGATAATGTAAAAAGGATGTTCAGAAATTTCGAGTCATGTTTTGTTGAGAGCATGAGTTAAAACTCAACAAGGAAAAGCTTTCAGTATTTCAGAGATAAGTGCTGTCTGACTTGAATACGAAGTTTAACTTCGTCAACAAGTCTAACAATTATCTCTCAATCCAAAAAGAATCCAACAAAAGCTCAATATACAATGTCCTTTTTTTTTTCATTAAACATTTTACAACCATAATTTTTCTCATCACAATGCAGATAAAAGTAGATAATGAAAGATTTTAAGAAAGTCACATAGAACTTCATATGACCATACCTCTGCACTATCTGACATAGCTTTCTTCTTCTTTTTCTTTTTTTCCTTCTTTCTTTCTCCATCTCCTCTTGCTTTTCTCTTCTTTCCCTTTTCCTTCTTTGGTTTAGGAGGAGTCTCTGGCTCTTCTAAATCATCCTCTTCGTCATCATCATCATCATCGGGAAGTTCTTCTTGTGGAACAGGTTCATCTGTCTGCTCTGGAGATTGATCCTCTTCTTCCACTTCTGCATCCTCTTCATCATCACCATCACCTTGATCATCAGGAATTGTGTCTTCATCCTGGTCAACATCATCTCCCTCTTCATCTTCACCATCTACAAAATTATAAAGAAATGGTTCTGTGCTTCTATCTATGATTGATATTAAATTCTGATCAAAGCAAGCTAACTACATAGATCAGAACTAAAAAACAACCCAGTTATAAGCATTGTTAAATATACTGTTTTATATTCTTACATGCAGTGATAAGAATGCACTGTTGTTACTTCTTCTTCTTGTTATTTGGCTGTAATCTCAATAATAGGTCACAAGATTTAGTCAGCTTTGAAGATTTAGTCCTAAGTCCACATACTAAGCTAACAATGCAAAATAATCTCTGTAACACAAATAAAATAATAATGAAATTAGTTGAAAAACCATATGAAGCCTTGTCCCTGCTGCACTATCAAAGAACCTCTCACTGATAACATAGTGAGAAGGCCTCATCCTGCCCCGCATTTTGGTCAACATCATGTAATATAGCATGGGATGAATGGGATTGGTCTACTTGGAACACTGTGCACTCAAAAACTAAAAATTGTCTATCAAACTTCCAGTTAATCATAAAAGCTTGTAAAGATGTCCTGATCCAGTATTTATCTGTCGAAGATGATGTTTTTGAAAATAGTAAAGAGGAAGAAGAGTAAGATGTGGAAATAATTACAATGGAAGATGGAATTCCTAAGGAAGAGGCAAAGCTTTAAGGATACCATTTACAGAAAGTTAATTTTTTTTCGAGTAATCCATAAGTTACAGCCTACTAAATAAAAAAATTAAGTTGAAATTTTAGACAAACACAGACTATATTGTGCATAATATTACATTTAATGTGGAAAAACATATTCATTTAAAATAACACATTAGATTTTAATCAGAGTTATAAATAAAAATGTTTACAAGTTGATAGCACCTGTAACTATGGGTCTCTCAAATCACTAAACTTAACCCTTGAAACCCATAAATTTTTGCACATTCTCCCAAAATTATTTTCATGATTTACTAATAATTATCCCCCCCCCACCTTATAAAACTTAATTTTCTAATTTTGTGTATGATAACAAGGGTTGGACTGGTTTTCAGCCAAAAAGACACAAATGTTATCAGATGCTGTCATCGTCCAATGGGTAAATCGGGATTTTCGCCCAGATGCTACCAGCATCCGCTCAGGTTTAAAGAGTTAAATATCTCCTTAACCACAAATGATTATGAGAGAGTACATAAAACTTTCATCAAGTATTTATAAATTACAAAGACTTGCATAAAAATTCTTGGTGACTTTTGCTTTTTTTGTTCTGCATTAAAGACTTTTTTTTTTTTAGGAAAATTTATTCAAAATTATTAGTCTTTTAAGTATACATTTTTATTTAATGAAATGAGAGCATGGAATCCTCCTCTTAAGTTATCTTGGTCCAGTGAAATTATAAAAATAATGACATGTGTAATTTTAATACAAAAAGTGTCCATGAAGATACTTAACATAAAGCACACACAGTAAATCTTGCAAAGGATATAAACTGAATAAATGTTCCAAATGCATCACTTTATAACATTCTTTAACATGAAAGTGTTGAATACTGTTTTTTTGGGGGGATTCTTTTACAGAGCTCAGCATGAATACTTTTTCACTTTGGAATTACATGCACTGTGACTTTGTCAATTCAACATAACATGATAAATTAGGTGGGATAATCCTGGAAGATGAAAATGTAACGAGTCGTGAAGAATGCACGAAGATGATGAAAATTATGAATGTACGTTTACAAAACTAAAACATTCGCAGAAATAACCAACATCCGATGTTTTCCGATACAAAATAAATACTCTTTCTTCCTCATTACAATGAAACAAAAAAAATTATAAATGATCCACATGATGAGTCAAGTGTTTCTAAAGATAATTACACAGTTGAAGTTGGAGAGGATACTGGGACTGAAAGTACATGTGTGTTAGTGAAGACACTAATTTTTAAAGTATGTATGTGAATTTGTTCGTAAAGATACTGAAATTTAGTGTATGTGAGTGTATTAGTAAGGATACTGACATGTAGTGTGTATGTGAGTGTGTTAGTGAAGATACTGGGATTTATAGAATGTGAGTGCAATAATGAAGATGATGAGGCTCAGAGATTGTATGCGAGTGTTTTATTAAGAATACTGAGATATAGAATGTGTATGTGAGTGCATTAGTAAGGATGCTTAGATTTAGTGTGTGTGTATGCATGTATGTATGTATGTATGTATGTATGTAATGTGTTAGTGAGGATAGTGAGATTTCGAGTGTGTACTATCATAATGAAAAGGTTTCATATACCTATAACGAGTGTAAAATAAGCCAAACTTTAACTATTTAAACTTCTGAAAGACATATGACTTATCAGCCAAAAATAGCATAGTTGTATGAAGTCTACAGTCAAGCAAATTTTCTCAGCAGCAACCATATTCTGCATGTGGTAGACATAAGAATAGGGTCGCCAGTTTAGGAAAACTATTACCAAGAGTAAGATTTTTTTTTCAAATCAAAATTAGCAAGCAGAAGCCCTGAGGTCATAAGATCTGTCTCTAAATCTGAGCAAAGGCCAGATACATAATCAAGTACACCGTCAGAGCATTACACAACATTAGTCAGAGATTCTGGGTTCATTTTGAACTTCCTATCTAAACTGTCACATTGTGAGTAGATGGTTCATTCAAGATATGATGAACACTGGAGGATATTAATACATAAATGTCAAAACTACATCAAAAATTGTTTTAATTTAACTGCTTTTATTACTATAGGATACCTGTACAACAAATCGTTTTATATTATACAGAAACAATTAAATGGTCACTTCATTAAAAAAGAACATCATTCAGACAGTTCATTCCATGTTAATTAATATAGCAACATGCTTTATCTTCAATAAAATACAGCAAAATTTTATAACGATGATGATTTACTAAGGTAAAAGGGCAAGTATACAGAATCCTAGTCATACCTTAAATGCTAAGTTACAGCCTCCTAAAACTAAGATGGTCAGAATTTTGAAACACAAGTTCCATATTTAAGCAATTTTCAACATTAATTATGTGACAAGACTCAAATTATAATCATTCTTGAGTAATTTTACAGTTTGTATCACACGTATACACTCAGTATAGTTTTGTTTCTGACAGTTATATTCACTTACAAGAATCTTTTTTGCTTCTTGGCACCATCTTGCAAAAACTCTAGATTGGTTTGTTTCATATTTCGTGCAAAGCTACACGAGGCCCATCTGTGCTAGCTGTCTTTAATATAGCAGTAATAGACTAAAGGGAAAGCAGCTAGTCAACATACCCACCCCCACTTTTTAAGGTTACTCTTTTACCAATGAATAGAGGGACTGACCTGCACCATGGCAGAAATGGAAGCATGTTCAGTAAGACTAAAGCAAGAGACTAAAGGGAAGGCAGCTAGTCAACATACCCACCCCCACTTTTTAAGGTTACTCTTACCAATGAATAGAGGGACTGACCTGCACCATGGCAGAAAGGGAAGCATGTTCAGTGACAGGGATTAGAACCCGTGACCCTCAGATTTTGAGTCGAGTATCATAACTATCAGGCCAAAAACTCTAGAAAACACAAGTCCTCAAACATACATATAAAAAACGAGGTGTCTTTTTTTTTATTTTGTTTTTTTATCTAATGAAATTTGTATACCTCAGACATAAAAACTGATTTACTTTAATCAACTTTACATCACTCCCTCTGTGGAGGAAAAAATAATAAATGTATGAATAATAAATATCAGAAATTCAAATTTATTTACATGAACTAACTTTCAAATAAATCATAAAATCAATAAAGTGAATTTTTTTCTGGCTACAATTCTATCTTGAAATGTATTGTAATCCCTCGATAACTTGGAACATATGGGACTAAAGTCATGTAGAGTTATCAAAAATTTCGAGTTATTGAGGTAATTTCCTCCCACCCCCAAATCACAACTTTTTTGGCCAAAATAAACTACTATACATTACCAATGTTTGAAAATAAATTAAATTAAATTCAAAAAACATTAAAATTAACACTTAATAGCACTGCAGGTCAAGATAGATGATGATTCAAGCTTATGTTGCCATGTGGTAGGTGACAGAGGTGATTGTAGGAAGGCTTAACACACTTTGGTAAATATTGTACTCTACTTAAACACTACTTTATCAATTAAAAATTAAATACATTTTGATTAAACAATATATCATTCACTTAGAAATTAAAGATTATTTTATTTAATTAAATAAATTATTCACTGTCTGAAAATATCAACTGTCGTGGGGGTTCTGGGGTAATGCGAAGGAAGTGGCACTGCTGGAATTGGTGTCTGAGGAAGAGTATCGAGATACTGCAGGGAGATGGAGACACCACTACTCTCAAAGTTGCTTAGTGCTGTTCCAATTCAGGCAACCACTCAACTGCCTCCAGTTGCTTGGGAGAATTTGTAAGGACTCTTCTTGCCTAGTAAGAAAGCCTGAATATTTTTCAGGGATGCCAAGTTATATCAAATTCCGAGTTATCAAGGGATTACTGTATTTCAACTTTAGAAGTGATAGACTAAAGGGAAGGCTGCTAGTCAACACCACCCACCTCCACTTCTTGGGTTACTCTTTTACCAATGAATAGTGGAATTTACCTCCACAGTATAATGCACCTATGTCTGAAAAAGTGAGCACGTTTGGTGACAGGGATTCAAACCTGCAACCCTCAAACCATGAGTTAAGCACTGTAACCATCAGGTGTTGTAGAAGCATATATTATTTAATTAATGAACTACTATTTCACGAATTTATGTCAATAAATTTGTATCAAACTGTAGATTATAATTCAAATTTTAGTATTATACATTATGTAATTTCTTAATTTAAAATTAAATATTAAAAACACAGTTAAATCTCGATTTTTGCAGTACGTTGAATGCAGCATGGGTTCAAAATACAAAGTCTATAGTTTTGTATGAATTAGGAACTCAAATTTCCAATATTGAGAAGCTAGAATATAAAAAAGAACCTCATATATTTTCTGTTCTCTGAAATATT